TGCCCACCTCTTTCCATTTTTGGAAATGCTCCCTTATATACACTTACTTCTATATGTAACATGAATAACCATTCTGAAGCTCAGAATGTCCCTGTAGTGTTTTTCTTAGCCATTTTAACAGACTTGGCTCCATTTCTTTCTTTTGAACCAATATTTCAATGAGGTAGGGCGTGTCTGTAGTCTGCTTGAAATTTCATATTTTTTTTAGACTCAAATACATCTTAGTTACTAAGCTTTGTAAATTATAGTGGAGAGATTAATTACTGAAAATCACATATAAAATATAAAGTTTTTTCTTAAACATTGGTAACTATCTCAACATTATAAAGATTTCACTTATGAAATTTCAAAATGTTCTGATGCATAAAAGTGTTTTTAATCTTAAAATGAATATTACTTTGCATGATAGATAGGCAACATGCAAAAAGAAAAAAAAGAGACATGAGAAAAACATTGCTTTATAAACCTTAAGACTTAATAAAAAATTTGATATTTTGTATATGAAAGCATTGTAATGTTTACTGATAACCTACTAAATTTCATTAACATATGCTTACTAATTTAAAAGTTATAGCATAAAAATGGTTACGAGGTCAGTCCCAGGGACTGAGCCTGTGCTGAAAGAGTTAACTGTGCAAAAGATGTTAATAAAAAGTACAAAAATTGAAGTCATTTGATTTTACACTTACAAAGACATAGTAAAAGAACAATTAGAATATGATGGAATTGTTAGTAAAATTAAAATACACAGAAATGTACATATCTTTTGATGAAAAATAACAGAAGTTTTATTTTCATTTGTACATGATACACCTGTGTAACTAAAGGCTATTGGTTTTCATTATTTTGTTGTCAACTAATTTTATTAGAACCACTGGCAACATCAAAAGTTTATTTCATATATTTGTTTCATATTTTAGTCAGGTTTTAAAACTGGTATTATTTTAAATTGTTATGGAAAATAATACATCTGGTTTTGATTTTATATCTCTCCTGAAAAGAACAAGGCTTAAACTTTTTCTGTGTGAACAATAGAACCACCAGTTTCTGTTTTGTATAATGAAGGAATGGCATTTTAATGTTCAATTGAGTATCACAGTCTTGTGTAATTACATCGATCTTTATAAGATATCATTTTTCAAGGATTTTTTGAAGTGCTTATACAGTAAACACTGTGAATTTCATTATTTATACTCAGAATTTGAACTTAATTTCAAAATTTTTCTTACCTCAAATTAAAGACTTGTAACTTGTTAATTTTCTAACTTGTGAACTTTTTTTATTTCATTGAGACTGACTTTGACCAAACATTTATTAAAAAACAAAACACTTTTATTTGCAGAACTCTAATAGTAAGTATACGTGATTAGCAGTTACTTATTTGACACTTTTCTTTTGCATCAAATATTCACTATAAATTTCATAGATGTCATGTTCCTCATAAAACTTAAAACTGTCCTGATTATTGGATAGCATTAATTAAATTGCTTTTAATAAATTTGACACTGAAGCTTCACCATAGTTTTTAAGTTTATTTACTTTTTCATGCCATTTTATATATAAGCAGCAGAGTTTTCTTTTGGGATTGATGTGCTGTGATGAATCCTTTTATGGAAAGTATTGTTTTAAATATCTTATGGAGAGTACTACCTGTATCTTTTTCTTTAACAATACATAAATATGTAATATCCAATTTTGTATCCAAAAAAAAGTTTAAAGCATTCCACTAGCAGTTTTAAAGTTATACTGTACAAGATAACATACTGTATTGTGTAAAGAATACATTGAAATTAGCAGTATCTCAATATCATGGGGATAATGAAAATTATTAAATGGTCATATCATGTTCTGCTTCTGAAAATTTGTTAGTTGGATACTAAAATCAGGATTTGGTGATAGTTGAATTTAATCTTAGTATTGTTGCAATGTGATGGTAAAATCTTCATCATGCTGTACTGCATTCTTCAATAAGGAGCAGCACTGTACAGTAATAGGTGTTTATCATGTCATAAAACATCCTGAAATTGCTGTAATCTTATCATAATGATAAAATTAGCACAAAACATTACCAAAATAGATTAAATTAGATTACAAAAAGCTTGACTATTGTTCTTCAAGAGTAAAAATGAAAAAAGCTTAAAGAGTGTAGATAGTAAATGTCAATGAAGAAGTATATGTCATGTGAGTGAGAGTTGTTTGATGAGGTGGCCTGGACACATCCACTATCTAATGCTACACCCTTTTTTAATTGGAATTTGTCAGCTTTTATAGCCATTTCGACAAACACTTACTGCTCATGTGAAATGTACTTTTTTTTCATATTTATCACCCCACCCTTTTTACTCCTAAAGAAGTGGGGTCAACTATTTGAAAGTGCTCAAGTTTCTTGTTGTTTTGAAATCTACTGTAATCATTAGTGTTTGTTTAACATAAGGTGATTGATTGATAAACAGTTTGTGAGAATAACTATCCATGGAATAACTTGCATGTTTTTTTTTAATGTTTAACAGTGCAGAATGTTAAAATTTGGTACAATAACTCCATTAAGTGTCTTAATCATGGATTATGACAGTTTATTTATATTTGTTGGGGCAATGTTTGTGTAATTTATTCTATTTCCATTATTTTCTAATGGTCAATATTCTGTTTTGTATACATATAAAACTGTGCTTAATTCATCTACATCTTAATCCAAAAAATTCTGGATTTCTGAAGTACTGAATCGTTACCTTGTTTTGGTCATTAAACCTAATGAACACAGTAGATGGTGCTTAGTAGAAACTGAGTGAGTGCAGTTTGATTCTAATTGTGCAATTACAGGGACTTTCATACCACAGAGCAGTCAAGCTTTTCTCTTTTTTTAACATAAATTGTACATATAATAAATGTATCTATATTTTGTTGTTAAAGTTGAAGGACATGTACATCTATTTCTAAATGGCATTCAGATCAGTTATGTTGAAGTTTTTGTGTGTGATGCTATAGAACTTATGGCTTGGTATAATACCATGTGATATCAGAAAACTTTTTGTGAAACTAGGTCACAAATATTTGGTTATCACACAAGTTTCTAGGAAATAAGTTAGTTTCTACCTCTTATATATATATATATATATATATAATTAAAGGAAAAAAGTCAGTACAATAATAAGAGAAACGTCTGTTGAAAATTGTTGGAAAGTTTGGTATGTTAGAAATAATTTCATTGGATACTGAAGGAAGAAATTAAATGTAATACTTTGTAACTTTATGATTGAAACTGTAATTTTATACACAATATACCAATTTGTTTATCTAGGGTTTAAATGACTGCCTAGTTGGTCATTCAATAGTCTTTGTAAAAAAGTGTTTGTGTGTTACCATCTTTCTAAAAATAAACTATGGTGCAATGTTATAAGGATATATGGTAACAGTAAAATTACTTTATTCAGCTCTAGATTTGAACCCAAGCTATCTAAAAGCAATTCTACGAAGAGCACAACTCCACAAGACAACTGAAAAGTTAGATGAGGCTCTGACTGACTACCAGCAGGTGTTAGAAATAGATCCAAATATATTAGAAGCACGTGAAGCTTGTATGGTGAGTGGTTTGTACAAAATACTTAGAAATAAGTAATAATTAGTAGGAGAAAACACACACACACAAAAAATCAGTACATATTGTAAAATGTTTGGTAGGATGTTTTGCTAAAGAATACACTTTAGATTGCAAAAGTTGAAGTGTATGTATATAACAATTTTGTGTGCATAGACTGTACTTGTTTTGAAAACTATAATGAGATAATTGGCATGTAGAAATAAATGTCAAATTTTTCTCATTGTTAGGTTTGCAGAGAAAATGATGTGGAGTTTGTTAAACAGTGAAGTAATTGTTTATGAAACTGTTTGAGTTAAAGTACAGATGTTTAAGACTGAGTGTATATATAATTTTGGAATAAGTAAAATATTTTTGTGGTGATCAATGTTTGGAAACTATAGCAGATTTCCTGTAGAATTATTTAGACTTGAGCATTTTGCTTCATTATCAAAGAGATTTCATTAACTCTTTCCATATGGGGTCAATGGATTACACCAACCTTGTAACTACTAAGTAATCATGTAAATTGGAGAATGGGCAAGACATGGAGAACAAATATTACGATTCTCATACAAGGGAAGATTGATGATTTATTTAAATATTTAATTTTAAAATTAAGAAATTAAAATGTATGTTCAAATTTGATTTATTAACTACATTTTAATGCCACGTTTATTCATATGTATTGATAACAAAATAGTTTAATTATACTTTGAATGTAACTCTGTGAAAGGTCATGAAATGCACCCCTTGACTGTAGCGGGAAGGTTAAAATATTATGGAATACTGGGTGCAGTTATTAAGTATTTTCTGAGTACATTGTAGGTGTTTGTAATATAATATATCCAACAAGTATTTTGTTTCCTAAACTTTAGGTTCTTCCAGAACAGATTAAAGAGAGGAACGAGAAGCTAAAAGCAGAAATGCTAGGTATGTTTCTACATGTTTCTTTAAAGTACTTGTATTTTTGGGTTATGGCAAAGATTGTATTGAAAATCTAAAGGGTTACAGCAACACATCTAAACCTAGAAATTAACTAGAGCATGGTCAACATATAGATTACAAGGTTATGGATGTTAGAGAATAGTTTTATTAAGATAAAGTGACACATTTTCCCATCAGAATAGCATTAGGTGAAAATACAGGGCAGTTTTCATTATCATGATAACAATAAAGGATAATAGCTTAGACTTGCAACCTCTTCTTCCACTACAGATGACATTCTTTGTGATGACTATAATTATGCACTATTCTTCTGTAGCACAGTTTTCACTATAAGAGGTTTTTGTGCAATTCAATGTTGTTCTCATCTTCTTTACAAGCTTTCTAAAATCCATCAACTGTGCATGGCCAATGTTTTGCAAGGGCCTGTTGGAACAACCCAGAGGCACAGAATTCGGTGGGAGATGTTTACAAATGATAGAGCATGATATTCCATGCATATGTGCATTTTGCAGAGAAACTGGCATGTTGACTTGAACATGTAGCTTGATGCTTTTTCTTCATGGAGTCATACATTATTGGTATTTCTTTGAAGTACAGTGGTGTCACTACATTAGCTTAACATGCAGAGTTCACACAGGCATTTTAATCAACTCTCCAGATGTTTAAAAACAGTTGTAACCATCATAAACTCCTTGAAAAAGACTTTGTTGCATGTTTTTTATCATTTTGAAGTATTGTATCAATGGGAAGGTGGTAATAAATTGTTTGGACTTTTTTTTTTGCAGAAACTGAAGTAGATGTGCTTCACCCAGATGATTAAATAATAAATCTGTTTCATACTTCTACAGCTTTCAACAATTTTCATCTGGCTATGTGCTTTGCGAGGAGCTTGTGAACATAGCTTTAGTTTTACTTTTGTTGACTTAAATTTGTTTGAATTACAGTATCCACATTTCCAGTGGAGGTGCTTATTGTAACTGCAATGTACCTGTGTTCTTTTGTTACTTCTGTTGACAAGTTGTTTAAATTTTTTCATTATTTCTGTTGTATGACTGGTAGACAGTCAAGGAGCAGATTGCTTTTTTCCTACTGGAATCATACTTTTTTTGGCTTTATCAGTAGGGTTCAACGCTAAAGATATCCTTTTCTTTGAAACACTACAATTTCTTTCCTTTTATGCTTTTATATTCACAGTATAAAAACTTTGCATCAGAAAGTCCTGTAATGTGATTCTCCCAGAAGGATCCAATTTTAAGTGCCATCTATGCTTACAAAATATCACGCTTCCACTGAATTGCAACAAGAGGATCAGGGTTGTTAACATGTGTAATAACAAGTCATGGGTATGGCCAGAGGCAAGGTGATCAAGTATGCATATTGTAATTGTAGAATGTGAACAACTCTGTACGTATTGATAACTAATTACTTGCCTATCTCTTCTTTTTTTTTTTACTATATGTAAATGATGGAAAGCAGAAGTGCTAAGTCACTTAAACATTGCAACTTAAAAAGTTTGTCCTACTATACATCTGTCTGCAATTGATGACCATTAAAATGTTTCAACAAAATATTTTGTAATATTTTTAATCATTGTACAAAATGATCCATTAATCTAAAATTGTAAACAATAAACATTTTAACTAATCTTTGAGGTATATTTATCAAAGTTTTACTTTTGAGAGTGAGGGTTTTTGTAAATGTTTATTGATGTAAAAGATGATCTAAACAGTTCATTATAAAACACTGTCTTGTGATCACCTAGATTGCAAGTCTGTGAAACTACATACAAGTGCATACCTCTAGTTCATCTATTTTTTAAAGAATATAGTTACTGTAATGTCTTAAAAATAATATAGAAGATATTTACTCTCATCATTACACATTTTACTTGCTGTACAATATTTCACATTATAGTCCAGCTAATAAAGTTAAGTAACAATCAGAGGGTGTATGGTAATTAAATAATAGTGTTGAAAATAATTGAAGCTAATTTCATATTGTCTAATATCTTGTAATATAATAAAATATACCAGTGAATTATGTTATCAGTAAAAAGTTCTATTGGGTTCAATTTATGAACTACCAAACATATTCAGACTTTCTATTTTTCTTGAAAACCTGTAAAATAAAATTTTATTACTAAGCGTTTTATGATCTTTTTATAGGAAAACTTGCATGCTATTCAATAATTACATAATGAGATTCAAGAAAACTTTGTATACTTATCAAACTTAAAGGTTTATTATGAACCAAGTTTTTCTTCTATGAATAATTCTTGATTGATGTTTTTGTATATAATATTACTAGGAAAACTGAAAGACCTTGGGAACATGATCCTCAGACCTTTTGGCCTGTCAACAGACAACTTTAAGTTTGTTCAAGATCCAAATACTGGAGGTTATTCTGTGAACTTTCAAAACAACAAACGCTAGAAAATGTGAATAAAGCTTGTTAAGAAAAATATTTTTTAATGTGTTTTTCTCACTACTAAGTAACATCACTGGACCTCAGAAGCTTGATTAACATCTTTTTATTTGGCCTGATTGATATAATACCATTAGGAATTTGCTTAACCTCAATAGAATAAAACAGAAACTAAAGTTGACCAAACATTTACCTTACTTATATATATGACTTTCAATATAAGAAGAATAGATAAGTAACTACGTAGAAGTATATAATCATTCTTTTATGTGTGTGTATATATATATATATATATATATATATGTTACAGGTGATGGCCAAAGTCAGGCCAGTGTCAACAATGACTTGGACAATGTTGTCATTTCCCTCTGTTCTTGGGCATTGAAGACTGCCAGGCCATTTGCAATATTGTTTACAAATTCTAAGTGACGTAGTTTTAAGTTTAGTAAAATACAGTACTTTGGTCATTGGCTGGGCATCGATAACATTGCTTGATTTACCTTGAGCCATAGTATCATTTCCTGGTAGATGTTGGTTTTTCACACAGTACTTTAGGACAAGATTGGCTGGTGAAATTGGACATTGCTGTCATTGGCTAGATATTGTCATCAATGTCCAATAACGAGGAAATGACAACACTATTTGGCCATTGACGATGTTGCCTGTAACATATACGTACACAAATGCACATAAACAAGACAACCTTGATAAGCTGATGAATCTGAAAAAAGTGGAAAGGATGTTTAGTTTCATATAGTGACTTATATGTTTAATTACTTTCATACACACATAATATTGTTTTGTGATAATTTTCAACTGCTTCATTAATTTTACATCTAAATATAAATTATTAGTCATTTTATTGCACACAGAATTTCCTTTATGATTTGATAGCATATCTGTATTCTAACAGTGTTTAAATTGTATTCTTAAAAACATTTTTGCATGTGTTATTATATATAACTTACATTTACTTTTATGATAAACTTTTTTGAAAGCTTAAATATTTGCTGGAATTAGCCAACATACTGTAAAACTCACTTAAAAATAATGTTTCTGTCTATATGTGAACTGTAGCTGTAGTTTAGATACCAAATGTTGAACTTGTCTTTTTTATAGGTTTAACCTGAGATACCCACCACATATAATAGAATTTGATAAATATTTCAATATACATAAAAGTGAAATTTTATAAGTTGTTGTATTAGGAGAAAATTTAACATTTTAATAGTTAAGAAAAATCTAAAATAAAGTGTAATAGCTGAAATAAAACTTAATCAAACTATTTAATAGCAAAGTAATTTGTAATGTTATAGTGAGAAAAGAGAGTAAAAGAAAGGTTAGATTTGGAACAGTGTACCTTCTTTATGTAATCTTTTAGACTTGATGGTTACTTGTTAAGATGTGATACATTTGCATGCTTTGTGAAATTTCCAATACATGGTAATTTTAATTACAGGGAATTATTTGTATATTAATGTTCTGATATATTATAAATAGCCTTTTTAAGAATTACTAAGTTTCAAAACTTGTGTATTTCATACATTGAGGTTAACTAGAGATTATGTTGAAGAGACCTGCCTGTATAGTCTGGTGTGTATGAACTGTGAATGCAATCTTATTGAATAAAATTGGTTATAAGCTGACACTGACACAATTGGATTCATGTATTTGCACATACTGTGTAACAATTGCTTATATTTAGGCCACTAGCAGACTATGTTTCAGAAATGTAGGGACACAAATAACTAGATAAATATACATGCTACTACTTTTATGATTTTGGATGTGTGTGCCACTACAAGATGTAATATTAACTTTCACATGAGCAGAATTCTTGGATTTATTAATTTTTCTAGAATGAAGTTTTGTTTGAAAGATGAATTCTCAGTCACTTTTAGATTGTAAATATCATATTCATATCATAAGTTGGCTAGATTTACTTAGAAAGCATAACAAAATGTTATTTCAAGTGTAATACTGTTGACCGGTTTTAAAGCTTTTGGAATGAAATAGGCTTTGATTATAACTTCAATATAATATGATATTAATAGTTTTTAAAGTATATTTATATCACTTCCATAAGAAATCGAAATATATTAATAAGGATATAATACTTAATTTGTTTCACATCTCAGTTTTTGGCAGTTAACAATAAAAAAAGGTTAATGAATATTTATTTTCATGTTTTTAAATACCTATCTGTTTCCATGGATGTTTCGAAAGATACAGGATTTTATATCCTGTAAGCCAGCTATATGAGATTAAAACCAACAAATAGGCAACTAAACATCACTTTTAAGTATAATCTATTTATCCATCTTTCCATGAAATTCACGATAACAGCTTGTCAATACAGATCTGGTGTTATGAATTCAATTACAGACAGCTGCTTTAAGAACCTCAACTATCTGGAAATGTTTATGAATGACCCAAAAAGGTGGGAGCCAAAGGGTGTGAAGTCCGGGCTATATATTACCAAGGACTTGAATCAGTGTTTCTCAAAATCAGTATAATTGAAAATGTTCTCTAATTGTGTTGATATGTCACATATTATGAAAATATACAACATATAATACATGAGCAGCTAACTGGTATTACTCTTTTTAATATCATTAATTTGCTGCAACTTACTGATGTTCACAATATAAGAATGTAAATATTTTCTTTGACTGAACATTGCTAATACCCTACGAAGACAGTTATGCATATTAGAATTTCATGTTTCTTCAAGGTTTCATGATAATGCTAATATGAGCTGACATTATTATATTTAATTAAAACATATATTTCAGAAAAATATAACTTATTTTTTTAGGTAAAAATACAATAAAATGTCACATTAAAACTTGAAATACTTTTAAAACTTCTGTTTTAAGTGATTAGATATACTTAGAAAAGTGCATAATTGAATTTCAAATACACTGCAATGAGAATTATTTTGTTCACAATTACTGTGTGTCAAATTAGACAGTTGCAATATCCAAAATGATGGTTGAAATGCATCTTGTAAAAAGAAAAAGGAATTGGTTGTTGTTTTTTTACCTTGATTTCATTTATCATTAATATTTATCACATATCCCTGTATTCTTTGTTTCATTACCCACACCTTAACCTGGTTGATGTATTTAATGCACTTCACATTTAATACTATTCTGTACCTAGGAGTTAATGTTGCTCTATTACTTACGGTTATTTTATCAGTTTCTGTCTTTTTAACAGGATTTATATAAACTTCAAAATTTCCATCATTTGAGTCTTTGTTTACCTCACCCCAAAACTGCATTATCTTCCCTTGAAATGCAAAAAAATTTCTATTTTGTTTTAAAATAGTATAATATTAATAATAGTAGGTATGGCCACCTTTGGCTTTAATGACATCATCACATTGCTACATGAATTTCATAGGATTTCATGAGACACCTTCTGGTATTTGTAACCAATCTTCCATAAGCACTATATGCTGTGGGTGAGCTCTGATGCATTGTTCAAAGACACCCCACAGATGTTCAGTGGGATTGGGCTGGTAAGAAGAGATGTGCGAATTTGTTGTAACGATCTTTAAACAAATCCTGTACAACATACACTTGATAGGTGGTGGCATTATTTGACCTGAAACATTCCCTTCTGGATACAGAATTATAGAATTAATTTGGTCTGCCGCAATGCCTAAGTTTTCATATGACGGAATTAGAGGATCACAACCATGGCAGCTAAGTGTATCCCCAGACCATGACACCACCTCTGGCAGTCTAGCTTATTGGAATTATGCATGTGGAGTGTAGCACTTAATGAGATCTAAACAAATCATTCTTTAAATTGTTCCCCCACAAGTATTCAAATGAAGGCTATGGTTAACTTCTAATACCAAAGTTGGTGATACTTTTCTGTGATCAAATGATGGTAGTAGGATAAAAAGCTTGAAGTGCCATTGGAATGACAAGGATTGTTTCTGTTTACCTCACATTTGGAAAATTTAATATTGAACTGAAACGTAAGTGTTTTGTAAGTAAAAATAGTCATATTGGAGTAAGTCATAAAATGAAAGGGTGGTGACCAAAGATAAATGTAAAATTATGGTAGACAAGAGATAGGTCTGAAATTTTATTTTTACACCCTCTAATCTGTAAATGGCAATTTAAAAGAGTGGTAAAAACATATACAGTGAAGCGAAATGTTATCATTTTTGTTAGGTTTAAAAGAAAACATAACAGATTCACTAACTCAGGCGTTTTACTATAATTTATTTAAATAAACTCGTTCTGTCCAAATCATTACTTGACGAGGTTTTAGTGCCTTATGGTCGTATTAACGTCATCGTGACTAAGATGAGTTTGACTAACATGTACATGATATGAATGAGTAATGTTTAGGATCTCCTGTCGGCCATTTCTGGTCCCTTTAGTTTTATGTCACTTCTTGTTTGCATGTTTTTTAAGCGTTTGAATTTAAATTGCTGCTGAAGAGACACCCAGAACGCAGTCGATACATTATGCAATTATTCTATAAACAAACGATACTTTTAAAATCAAGTTCAGGGATTAACGAATTTTATGGGGAGAAAAACTGCGAAAATGGCTGTTATATGTAGTTTAAATTATTTTTTTTATTATTAAAACGTGTAAAATTGGTTCCAAAATTATTTGCCCACCAGTGGCACAGCGGTATGGCTGCGGACTTACAACGCTAGAAACCGGGTTTCGATACCCGTGGTGGGCAGAGCACAGATAGCCCTTGTGTAGCATTGTGCTACATTATTTAAATTAAAATGGTACATCGATCAAAAGTTTGAAGAGACAGTCAAGTGAAATATTTTTGAGATATTGCATATTACAAATTTTTAACATGTGTGGTTATGTTTTTATTCAATAATTAATTTACTATTCTTGAAAATATTACTTTTGCAACATTTTATTAATATACTGATTAAAACAATAAAGTAAATCTTCAGTTTGAATCAGTGAATAATTTTATTTCTATTTTTACAATTATAAATATATTTACAAGCAGCTTTTCTACCAATATTTACTTTTTCTTACAAGACTATCTTTTAATTCCTGTTTTATATATTCTAGAAATGTCATTATCAAAACACTAATTTTCATATAGGCAATTCTTGGCGTCCACGAAATTAAAATACTTTCGACAACAGAAAATAAAAATATTAGACTTGTAATATCGAAACTTTGCAGATTTCATTTTTATATACTGAAATACAGTTACTTAAATATCTAAAAAAACTGAAGTTTTCTATACGAAAACAGAACCAATTATTTGCTTTATTAACTTACTTCAAGAGTATTTTCTTCTAAGTTCTGCAGCCAATTAAATATCATTATGTTCCTCTCGTACTTTGTGAGTGGCCTCCCCTTTTCTCTGTCTATATCCTTGACCGTGAGAGTTAGGTTCTTATTAGGGCCACGAAAGCTGAGAGAAGGAAGTTGTACGTCCCTACGGTCAAGGTCTGAAGATATTTGTACCTTAGGAACGTTGACACGTGTTTCCCGTTGCTTGGACACCTTCAAAAGGTTAACTTCGCTGTGTGTCAGTCTTTCTAAAGCTTTGTAGGTAGATAAGATTCTACGGCGTATGTATCTCTGTCTAACTTTTTTGTTCACAGAACGGACAAGCTCTGCCGGAGTGATGTTAGAAGATAAACTGCCAAATTGAAATTGAGGAAGAGGGGATGCCATGTGAGAAGATGAAGCGACATCACCAACAGCAACCCAAGTGGAGAGGGAACGGGAGGTGTTATCCAGACGTGCATTGGAAAGATCGAATTGTTCCCAGTCACAGAGAGCGAGCTCCGAAGTACTTGGTCGTAGAGATCCACTCTCTTCTGTTATAATTTGGGTTATATCTGAAGTACTAAAGCTCTTCATCAGGCCCAGAAAGGATGATAGTGCTCCACAATTACGGATCACTTCAGTTTCTTCTTCGAAGAGAACTTCCCCTGATATTGTTCTTTTTGTAACAGGTGCGTGCTGCTCCGAGGGAATTAGAAATAAGCTTCCTTTGCTTCCACGACTGCCTTTAGCGCCTGCCCGACCCCAAACGAATTCTGCAGGTAAAGGGCTCTGTCTCAGCGACTCCTCCGGCCCTTCTCCATTTCTTGATGTCCTCATCATGCTGCTTCTTAATTGACCAATCTCAGATCCGAGACTGGATAAAGATATCAGGGACAGGTCCGTTGCAAATGAATCATGGCTAGGAGAACGCGGCACCACTGTCGTACCACAACTTGGAGGAGGAAGTTGAGATGTCTCTTCGGCTTTGGAACTATTCATTTTTTTCTACGCAAACGTGATATTAGTTTTTTTCACTGCATAAAACTAAATTTGTCGTTATACACAGTGATAGATAGAAAACACACTTATTTTAACGTTTTATACTTGAGGATAAGTAATATTGTAATTAAAGAAAATAAAGCCTATAAAAACACGAATCCCATATTTCATGATTGGAACTGAAAGAAAGAAAAGTAAAAAAATTACATATATTTGAGATTACAAAGAAAATAAACTATCTGCATAATTTTAAAATATATTTCTTTATATAGTAAGATTGTCTATAGTTTAAATTAATTAATCTTTTACGGCAACCTAACAAAGTTCATAAAGTAAAAATGGGCTAATTATTATAAAGTACTCAATGTACTTTAGCGATTTATTAATGTAAAAATGCTGTTCTTGGTAATCGGGAATAGCCAGATAATTTTCAATTTGGGGCATGAATTTTTTATATTGATAGTTCCAGAAATCCAACTGCCAAGTGGTATTCACATATATGATGTTTTAATGAGTGGAGAAAAACTATAGAAAAAAATACTTGACTAAAGTGATTACGACGTTGAAACTTCCTTGTTTAGCACGAATGTTAAGGAATAAACATTCACTGCTTAACAGTTTTGTTTTAAATTTTGGACACCACTGCATAATAGATATGTAAATTATAACATGTGGGTAATTTTCAAAAGGAATGTCTTGAGACATATTATTTTACTAGTTTTTCATCTCGGGCTTTTTAAAACATAAGGATGCAAAACACATGATAGTTTAAATTCAATTTTTAATATATATAATTCATTATAACTAATTCGCTTTAATATGTTAAGTTTGATACAGATTTCACATCTTATATGGTATGGGAAACTTTGACTTTAAAAACATATAATTCATATTGGTAGCAGTATACATAAATATAAATTGTTTTCTATAGGTTTACATTATTACACGTCTAAATGTCAGAAGGTAACGAACAATAGAAAATGAAGTATGTCGCTCAGCAAGAATAGATGAACTATCCAAAACAAATGTGTTTATTAATGGCGTCACAACTTAAAATTTGTCATGATGGTTTGTTATGGAAAATACACAAACTGTTATTTTTAAAATGTCATACAGTTCAGATAAACCTATATTTGAGCTTGGAATCACGCTATGGACATTTATATCTCACGGCCATTGCCGTTAAAATCAATAATTCGTCTCTACAGTAAACCCTCCTAATATACGTATGACTTTCGCTGAGTGCAGCGTTATTATGGCAACTGTTAGGTTTGAAATGACCTGGGTTATGTTTGACACAGGCTAAAACTTTTTCAGAGGTATTTCCAAGCAGTTAAAAATAAATACATATGTTTACACAGAGAAAGGTTTAAAGAAACATGGGAGTCATTCCAGTTACTTACCCTTCGTCCACGAAGTCTAGTCTTCTATGGCTTTAGTGTACCAAGAAACTACATTCGACGCATGCGCTAAAAAAAGGACACTTTATAACATTGTCTTCGTACGACCAGAACGTTCACAACTGTTGTAATAATCCAGTGAAAGCTTCAGATGATAGAACGCGTCAAAAAATTAGTATTTTTCTCATGGATATGTGGATATCCACATACGTGTATTATTGTGACAATATAATGCGCTGACGTATAAATTAGTTACATAATGGGTAAGCTGACACTCAGCATTTTGACCTTATAAAGAATATTCACAATGCAACAATGATCTCTGTTATAGTACACAACCAGTAACATGATCCACAATAGCTTTTTCATCAAGTTAATCTGTCTTGAAGTACTTATGCTAGGTTTTGTATGTCATGATAAACGTTTTTTTGAAATTGTAATCTATAAGTCGTGTGACGTACTTAAGTTCACCCTCTGTATCGAAAAGCACAACAACTACAAACATAATCGTTTGTGTCATGTTATTAAGTCTCTACGTTATGAAACGAAGTAAGTGTATTACGTATATATGTGTGTCAATACATTATTCAAAAATGTTAAGAAATACTCTCTCAAACCTGGCAGTTAACCTTTCAAATCTGTATTATAATTACACAGGTATGCTATGTGACGAAGTACGTGGAGTGTGTTTTAGGGTCGATGTATTATCCTAAGAAGTCTATATTGAAATTATGTTAGATAAAGATATGTTGGTTAAAAGTAAAATGTAGTCGCCCATTTATAGAAAGTTATGTATATATTTTTGATATACTGTTACGATATGAATAACAGCCAAAGGAATATTCGTCGTGCGTTCATTTTTCTTCTTTTTTTCAATTGTCGAACAGTAGTACGGAATCAGATCTACAAATGCCATTAAAGTATTTCACTAACGGCACAAATCAGTATTTATTTACTTGATTTTAAGTTACAAAAAGTACATTTTCCTATTAAACCTGCAAGAAACCCATCGTACACATTTTACCTATAACATAAAGAATGACATAATATATATGTTTAGATATGGTGGACAAACATAGAACCTGCGTAAATTTGGTGTTAAAGAAATTGATTGAGTTGTGAGGTCTTAACAACATTTGTGTGTGTGTTTAAACGTTGTAATATTACTTTATTAACATTCTAACAGGTTGTAAGAGTTTTGTTTTATTTTAAGTTATTTAACAGTATAAAATATGGATTTATTTTTTAAATTTTAGCACAAATAAAGTTGTCTTATGTGCTTAACTAAATGACTGACTCTCCCGGTTTAGGGTTAGGCATTGTTCAAGTGGTAGAACAAGCAAGGACAAAGTCACGTCAAAATGGAACTTTACAAATAAAACAAGTTGACAGGGAAAATTATCTTGCAAGAGAACAGGGCATCATAAATTCTTACAACGAAAGAAATTGTACAAGACGATGCATTTGAGGCTATTAAAGATTTAGATATTTCACCAGAACAGGTGATGCAAGCCTCACGAGTATTTGGTGGGTATATTTTCACTACCTTCTTGAAACAGGTATGAATGATATGTGTCAGTATTTGAAATTAAACCAGCAGCTTTAACTCCAATGAAAGTTGTTATTTCTAAACACCTAAAATAAGTCATGGATATATAAGGAAGTTGTGTTAAAATTTTGGAAGGGTAGTCGGTCCTATTTGCACGTTGTCTGTGTCAACACAATGTCTAGAGTTTACACACGTTAAACTCTTAGACGACAAGTGTATATTGAATTGATTGAAGATAATGATTTTAAAAAATCCCAAGCCAATTGAATTGTTTTTGAGAAGGTTATAATTATACATTTTATGTAAGTTTGTCGATGCAATGTTTCAATTGTAAGGCTTATGGGCGTGTAAAAAATTCTGCCCTCAGTTACTTAAAGGAACGTGAAGAACCAGGGACTGTTAATTTAAATAATGGAGACATGACACAAGAAGATTCTCCCTCAGTTGATAACAATAGAGTTGGTCAGCGCCATACTGATCTAGGGACAACAGATATACTAGTAAAAGACTGTCAGAAAAAGAAAATGAACAACTGTTTGTTGATACTACCTTAGAAAAAGAAGTATAGAACTAATTGAAATAACTGAAGGATATTGTGTTATGAAGAAAACGATCTTAGAAAAAATATAGTACATAACCAACTGAAATGACTGAAGAAGATAGTGTTATGAAGAAAACGATAGAAGCTCAATCAGAACAAGACAATGTATGTATGTGTTAAATTTACATTCTAAGTTTTTCTTTTTCCCTTTTCTCTTTTTTCTATGGCAGTTATTGCTATATAAGATGTTAGAGGTTGTTCTACAGATATGAATAACCGAGTGGTTAAAATGATATTATGCGTGTAAAAAAGTGTAAAAGAGTCTCTAGATGCTCCATTAACGCTTACAGAAATAACTGTCGCTTGCCAATCATTAGCAAAAAACTAAATCCCCTGGATGAGTGGTTAGTAAAATTTTGGCCTAAGATTGGTATTTCTCTACTAGAGGTTTTTAACGAAACTTTAGAGACAGGTGAATGTTCTAGAAGTATGAAAAAGTAGTAATAATGTTAATATCTAAAGAGAGAGATTTGACAAAATTACAAATTGGCGACCCGTATCACTTCTATACACAGTCGAATCAAGGAATAAAAGTATTTGGAGTGTATTTAGGAAATTCTCTGGTATGGGCTCAGAGAAACTGGGATGAACTGAAAGAGAAATATACTAAACTTGTTACAGTCTAGAAGCGTTTTTGACTTTTTTATCATTAAAAGGAAAAAAAAAGAATTCTTAATCAAACTATTAGTAGTATTATATTAGATCTGCCTAAGAATTTGTTAACTAATTTGCAAAACGCTTTTATACAATTTGTTTGGAGGAAAGTTCATTGGGTTAATAGAGATGCTTTTATCTTACCTTTTGAAGAAGGTGGATTAGGTCTTTTATCCTTGAACTAACCAACAATTTTTAGTATTTGTTACTTCGAAACAGTTCACCTATCCGAATTACAATTGAAACTATTTTCAAACAGGCATATCAACGTTGTGATTTTCTTACAGTTCTTTTAATGGTTAGGGAGTTCGACTCTCAATATGAATCCCTGTCCCACCAAACATGCTCGCCCTTTCAGCCGTGAGGCGTTATTATGTGACGGTCAATCCCGCTATTCGTTGGTAACAGAGTAGCCCAAGAGTTGGCGGTGGGTGGTGATGACTAGCTGCCTTCCCTCTAGTCTTACACTGCTAAATTAGGGAAGGCTGGCTCAGATAGACCTCGTGTAGCTTTGCGCGAAATTCAAAAACAAACAAACAAAAAATCTTTTAATGGACCGTATGGAATCACGAGGAACGTTAGGAATGTTTTATAGCTCTACTTTAAAAAGGTTGTGCAACGTTAACATAAGAAGGAAAATTCAAAATTATTCTGTTCAAGCACTTCTTAATGAGCCTCTTTTCTTGAATTCTTATTTGTTAGATAATACAGGAAATCCATTTTGTTATTTTTCGTGGCTGATAAATAATGTGGTAACAGTATCAGACATTGTAGGTAACGAAAGAAATAGATGGAAAAATACAAGGTTAATCTTGCCGTCACAATTACAGAATGATGAAAATGAAGAGCGTTTGAAACGTTTAATAATTGCGATTACAATACAGTTTAAACACGTTGTTAATCCTACAGGAATAACTAGCAATAGTGAAAATTTAGCTAATAATCAACAAGGTAATACATCTAGTTTTGAATCCCCAGTAGCAGAACAGGAAATTAAAACCTTGTACAGCGATTTAGTAAAAATAAAATAATTTTTTGAATGACTATCATCCTAAATTACCAAAAAGTCGGACCGAAAAACGTGACGCGGATATACAGTAGAAACTTATGCACGATGCAGTACCTAACCCACTATGGTTAAAGCGAATAAATGTGACTGACAACGAATTATATCCGTATTGTAATACTATGATAAGTAACAACTGGCACATGTATTTTAGGTGTATTGAAAATGAGCTTTTATTAGACATGATTTTAAAATTATGTTCAACAATTTGGGGAAGAACATGTGAATCGTATGATTATTGGTATTTATGTTCTTATAAAAATTGCAGTAATTTCAAATTAATTAAGGTATGTAATTTCATCATTATTTTAGGAAAGAATATTATATACAATTATTTGTGTGAGATACATAAAAATCAACATATTCCGTATTTTAAGACATTCAAAAAGAAATTATTACGTAATTTCATTAATAGGCTGAAGTCACGGATTACATTAGAAAAAATTTGGGCCGAACAAAAAGGTGAATTAGAATTATTTTTAAAAATTGGATTCAAGAACGTCGATGGTTTATTATAGCTCAAAATATTCGAATAATTTATTAATTTTTTCCTTTCCTGTGTGATATGTATATATATTTATATTTTTGATAATTATTGCATAATATACTGTATTAAGTAAATAATAGTTGATGACATGATGAAAACTTACAAACAACAGCCTGAATGTTCTAATAAAAGTATCCAAAATTAATCCAACATTTTACAACTATTACTTCTAAGGTTGTTGGTTATAGTTAAAAGAAATCGTTACTTTAAAACTTCACCCATTTTAAACATGTAGTAATATGTAATAATTATTTATAAATGTTATGGATAAGAGTGATAAAGTGGTCATGTAAATAATGTAATGGATGAACATGTTTTTATTTCCTTGTTAAAACTGGTTTGGTTGTTTTAATAAAAAGTATAATAAAAGTATCTCTCCCTCTCTCTATCTATTTGTGTCTATTTATCGAACTGTTAAAAACAACCCAATACAAAATAAAGTGCCACTTATCACGAAATAGACGTTGTAGAAAACTATTATTGGTTTATTAGAAGTGGAATTGGCTTATTGTAAAAAAAAAACAATCAGGTTTGACGTACTTTGATTGTACATATTTTAAGGTTTATAAATACATATTACAAGTACAACGCCATCTATTGAAGTATACAGTATATAGCGGAATGAGAAGGCTAAATGTCATGTTAATGTTAGAATATCGAATTTCACTCCAGG